CGCCCCCGCGCCCAGAGAAACCACCCCCCCCCCCCCCCCCCACCCCCACCAGCAACCACGGGATACCCGTCGGCCTCTCAGCCTTCTCACAGCCACATGGACCACCAGCAACAGCACCCGCGGCTACACGCGCTCAAAGAGGAACCTCAGACCGTGCCGGAGATGTCCGGGGATACCCCGCCTCTGTCCCCCATAGACATGGAATCCCAAGAGCGCATTAAGGCCGAAAGGAAGCGTATGAGAAACAGGGTAGCCGCGTCCAAGTGCCGGAAAAGGAAGCTGGAGAGGATCTCCCGGCTGGAGGACAGGGTCAAAAACCTCAAGAGCCAAAACACGGAGTTGGTTTCCTCCGCTAACGTCCTGAGAGACGAGCTGGCCCTGCTGAAGCAGAAGGTCATGGACCACGTTAACAGCGGCTGCCAGCTCATTTTGACGCAGCAGCTACAGGGTTACTAAAACCGCACGTAGACCAATGCCAAGTGACAGTAATTTGGGGACCAAAAAGCAATTGACACTGGCCTTATCTCATAAATGATCTGCTTTTGTGATGACCGAGGTCATTATTAAAATATATTGCACATATGCTCAGCTCAGAGGAGACCATTGGCTTATAATTTCACGACACGTTAGCATTTTTTTTTTTTTGAAAAACCAACAAAATCATGTATGTCTACAGCCAAGGAGACATGGCAGGTGTCCCATAACATGCCAGCAGTTTGTCTGTTTTTAAAGGCGTCAGTCTTCCATCCTGTTTGGTAAAAAAAAACATAAAAAAAAAAACAATGGTGAGAAAACACTGACCCAGAGTTTTCTCTGGAAAATCTCTGCGTCTCTTATCTTTTTTTTTTATCTGCTTCCAGAACTGAGTCAAGCACTGAGTCTCCCACCAGTGACTCATCTAGCAGCTCATATTTTACAGACACTTTTTAAACACGTAAATGCAAGTTTCACGCCTTTATGCAGGGACTTTATATATATATATATATATTTATGTGTGTGTGTGTGTGTGTGTAGCGTTTACTGACAGAAAACCCGCCTTACTTTCTTAATCCCTGTGTTCATACAGCTTTGTAACTAATCTTAAACCCTGGAATAACCCTTTGTATTCATTTCTATGCTGTATATATTTTTTTTGAGCACTTGGAATTGTAAATATAGCAAAAAAATAAAAAAAATGTTGGACACATGGACATGGTCTCCTTTTGGTAGCCTCTGTGCCTCGTCCCCGGGACAACCAGTACTATTGTTGTTGTTCTTCAGCATGGGCGGACGGGATATTGAGTCACCAGAGCTGCGTGAGAAGCCTCCCATTGGACGACAGGGTGTGCGGAAGTGATCCACAGGCAACCAAATATGGCCCGAGGTCCTGTGCGCGTGTGTGTGTTTGTGTGTTAAATCACCCTCCCCCCTGCCCTGCAGCTGGAGACTCCCAAAATAAGAAACAGATGAAAGGGAAGAAGGATACCTGCTTTCAAATTGTACTGGCGTAGGACAACAAAAAAATATTTTTTTCCACACATAAAAGAGAAGCATTTCCAAAGAAGGTTTCCCAAAGATAAAGTAAAAAGCAAAAAAACTCTCTGGGTATAGAGATTAATCCTGAATCCTGGAACTAGCCATGATAGGAGTTGGAAGTAAATACTGTAAGTAAAACTGATTTTAAAAGCTAGAAAGAAGTCTAAAATATTTAACATTCGTTTCCTTCTAAACGTAGGATCAACTGTAGAGGATGAAAATGAACAACATCATGATGTTAAACTTGAAATGAAAAAAAAAAAAAACGTGTTTTATTCTTAAAACAAATCAGACTAACCATATACAGTATCATATTTTAACACCTGAATCTGAAGTTCAAGTTTCTCAATTCAACAAAATTACATTTGTGGAGCAACAAATATACATATATAACGTATGCACATTTTAACCTGAACTCAAATATGACTCATCCAAATAAATTTTAGTTTCACTTATGCATTGACTAATTTAAATGTCTACTGTGTAAAATGTTAAGGGAATGTTGTTTTGTTTTTTTTATTAAAATATTTCATTACTGGTGGCAGTATGAAGCTTAGATTTTATTGACGCTTTAAATTCAATAAATTGACCATAAAGTGTTGCTGTTTTTCTTGTATGGCAACACATATGAAGCAATTGATAATGTCTCAACTTTTCCAATAAGTGCAGTTAGTGTTGTTGTTGTTGTTGTTGATGTTTGCCTTGCTTTCATTGCAGATAAATAATGAGGGTCAATATGGATATAAGCAAAAAGATGCATAAAACTTTTATGTAATTGTTTCCTCTGTTGGCTATAAAGAAACACGGGTTTGATTTTACAAAAAAGTGGAATTGGTTATTGGATTTCTTAAAGAAAAAAAAACCCAAAGTAACTTCAGTCTCATAGTTTGAACGTAGTGACACCTGTGGATACAGACGCTCGCTTTCAAAACTTAATTTTGGTGCATAGACATATTTCATTCAAACGTCCTACATACACACACACACACGCGCGCAGTGCAACCCCCCGCTCATAGCTGCTTTCAAAATATATACATGTTTACGTCCCTAAGTTCACGGAAGATTTTCGACTGTCAACGTGGCTGAGAGTCAACAAACCCGCCTCCTGTGGAGTAGAGCTATTGTACCAACCAGTAGCTATTATCTAGGACTGACTTCCAACACTGTTGTTCCATTTGGAACCACACTGGCTGTATTTATTTAAAGTGTTTAGAGTCTGTTTTTTTTTTTGTGTGTGTGTGTTTGGATCCTGATGATACCTGGTTATAAGTACTGTTCCAGTGTTTCTCAGCTGACATTCACGTCCTCTTTGGCAGCCAGTCTCTGCCGGTGAACGTGGTCCTGTTCTAGCTCTTCGTGGCTGGGGTGCCACAGCCGCGACAGGATGCGCTCCACGTTGAGGGCGTACATGGTGTGGGAGGGCATTACGCTGTGGTGAACCTACGGCACAAAAATTACTGCTTGAAACTGTATTAAACAATTTGTACCCACGTGCTTTAAAATCTGCACAGTATAAACATTGGTATGGATACAAATAAAAATAATAATAATGTACTTAATTTTTACTAGTTTGCTTCATTCAAGGAAAATCCAGTCATATCCATTTACGTTTTTTATTTAAAGATAATCTGGATATATTTTAAAATAATATGTCATTCAGACTCTGATACAAACAGAATAGAGACTATAAGGTGTTTTATTTTGAAAATGTAATGAGCCTTTAATACTCAACACTTCAACACTCCCTGTTTATTTTCCAGGTGTGGTTCAAAGAGACACCATACTTATTTCCTTTCACAATCTTCTGTCTGTGAACTGGGAACATTGTACTGAAACAAACTGACATTAATCCACTTCTGCTTTTTCATCGTCCCGTCTTTAACTTAATTATCGCTGCATAATTAGCAGGGATTTATTCCTGTTACAAAATAAGATATTAATGCCATAGATTTTAAATTAATATTTAATCTGCAAATTAAGCTAATTTCCTGCATGAATTCAAATGTGCCTCATGAATTAACGATTTTAAAAAAAACTTTTCATTTCTCGGGGTTAAGAATCTTTTTTTTTTTACATTTTCTCTTACCTTTAAAGCCTCCAAAAGATCAAATAAAGAAATCGGAGACAACGGAGCGGGAAGTCTGTCCGCGGAACAAGCCAATAGGTGAACAGCTTGTTGTTCAGCATCATCTGGTGACACTTGAGGTGGAGGACCGGCAGGAAGGGAAGCACTGGGAGGAGGGCTACGGGGGAAAATAAGGAATAAAACGCATTGACACGACAATTCACATTTGTTTTAATTATTTAGATAAATACATTTACAAAGCGTAGTCATTGTTGTTCCTACCACTCAATGACACTCTGGTAGGCAGCCAGGCTGTTTTTCAGATACGGCTGTGGCGTGACATCACTGCCAAATGCGTAAGGAAAATGACCGTCACGTAATCGATACGCCTTCCTCCTGGATATGACGGCAGTCAGGACGTCTTTTAGGTGGTGCTGAAATTAACTAGAGCTGTTAGTATTGCTCGGACCAATCAGCAGACAAGAGCTTTCCCCCAGTCATCGAATCCTCTGCACACATTCTGATCTGGTAGACGTAATTTCTATAATAAGTTACTTCGTCCCGGAAACAAAATCCTGCTTTGTGGCCAGAGTACTTGAGTCAAGGACTTATGACTCAAATTTGACTTCTACATTGAACAACTTAGAATGAAATCTAAAAAGCCAGGGAAACAATCTGGACATCATCAACTCTGGGTTTTTTTCGGGACTTGAGCTTCAATAATGATTACAAGAATGTTTAGGGTATTTTTCCTGTTTCTGCAGTTTGATTGATTACAAGAACGTTTGGGGTATTTTTCCTGTTTCTGTAGTTTGAGTTTGATTTTTTGTTTTTTAAATGAAGCATAAGAGAATGGATGTAAGAGATTGTAATTAACAAATTATAATTCACTATTTGTTAAGTACATTCTAAATACGTTTGAACATAGAAGATGGTTTAAACATTTAAGTCAAAAACACCATTAACTTTCAGAGTGAATAAGAGTCAACTGACTCTTTGTTAAAATGTACTTCCCTTTAGGTACAAACATAATTTCAATGTTAATAATAAATATATATTTGTTGTAAATATATGTAAACAAATTGTTTGAGATAATGTACATAATGTACAAAATGTAGCATCAACTGGTCAAAGTCAATTTAAACCACTATCCCAGACATGGGCAAGCCTTTCCAAATTATATAATTTATTTATATTATCATTATACTTCTGCCTTTTCCCTGCAATACCCACGTTTGCCCAATAGATGGCGTAGAAAAGGCTAAACGCATTTTAGCATTTTAGCCTTTATGCATGACTTTAACATAATAACATGTTTAATTTGAGGACAATTGTGACCCTGTGGCCTGAACTATCTCATACTGTAAATTCAACATCACAACACTCTACTACTACTTAAGCTTCCACTTACCTCAAGAGCATAGACCATAGTGTTGACAGAATCGTCGGTGATGTTGTCCAGCCCCAGCTCGAACGCAGTGACCATCATCCGGGCCTCGAGCTGACTGCGTGTGGGCAGCAGGAGAGTATGGGCACTGAGACGCAGCTCTTCCTCCTCACCTCCAAACTCACGTGGGCTGAATGGCTGGGCGGCACTCAGAGGATTCTGGGGCTGGAAACGATGCTGGTGATGCAAACACAATGTACAAACCATCAACTAGTAGTTAGATTTAAACCTGTAAAAATGTTTTTTTTTTTTTTTTTTTACTAATGTTCCTGTTAACTCATTTTAAATGGAGCCATTTTTTTATAGTGCTTACATCAAATTTCTGTCTTGAAGAACATTTCTTCTTTCCTTTGGGTTTTCCAGGCTTGGAAGCAGAGCCCCCCTGCCATTGTAAAGGCCCAGTGACCTCTAGAGGACAGAAGAGAAAATTGAAAAGTGTAATTAAAGTAAAACGACTTTGTTTTTTTTTCTTTGCTTTAATATTTTGGGTTGTTACAAGGTCATACTGTCAAAGAGTATTATATAGCAACATCACCTGGAGTGGAGACGATAATCTGGCAGCGTGTGAGAATGGCCAGGAGAAAGTCATTGTGAACATGGACTGCAGAGAAATTGTGAGAAGAAAATAACCAATGAGTGACGACTGCAGGACACAAACAATGGGTTACAGAAATGTAACGTTTTCATCCTTGCTCACCGTTCTCCTGTGCCAAAAGACGACGGGCCTCAATGTCAAACTCCTCTTTGCTGATCTTTTGCTTGAACCATAATTTCAGGTTTGCCCAGTAACTGCATAGAGAGAAATTTGAAACATGCACAACAGAATATTCTTAAAATTCTCAACATGCCTACATCACACAATGTTCAATTCGACAATGTGCTGCCTGTAAAAATGAGACTATGAGTAAATAGATTTACATGTATTTTGGCGTGCAGATTTACAGCTGAATGACCAAGTAGTTAGTTAATTTTGTTAATTTGAACGCGTATTAGGTTAGAAAAAAAGCCGTTAGAGACGTAGGATAAACCAAAGACACCTCACTGCTAAATAATAAATACATATAACGTTCATAACGTTTTAGAAAGTTGAGTTCGCACAAGCCACGAAATGGTTTAATACATTAAGTTACGTGCAAGTTTATATGCACATATAAAATACATAATACGTGTATATATTTCACATCACTTTACCCTGTAAAGTAAACTTTATTAGCACCAAATACGGTATTCTGAACGCTACATGGGTTAGCAAATGTTCACAGCTCCGACAAAATAATGGAAGCGCTCCTTAGCGAACATGTGTAGACACTGAAATGTTCAATGAGAAAATAAAATGCATTTAAAAACTGGTTTTACGTACTGTTTAACGTTGTCTCCAATCGCATCCGTTAAGTTTTTCTTCGCAATTTCAAGCTCGCTAGCGTGAGCCGCCATTACTTCATGTTATGACGTCATTAACCCGCGACACTGTTAACTTTACATCAAACTGAAACATCCGTTTTTTTTTCTTTTTTTCTTTGTTTATTTTTTTTTTTTCTTTCTTTCTTTTTGTAAAATATTGTTATATACATTTAAATGAGCTCAAATAATGTACAGGACAATGCTCACAATTTTTTTTTTTTTAGAATTTAAAAAAATATTCTAATGTAACAAATAACACATGAAGACACATTCCGGGGGCCGGATGCGGACTCATCACCAATATACAATTTTAAAACTTTGGCTTGGGCTTTTATTATTATTTATATGTTATTATTATTGTTGTTGTTATTAGTAGTAGTAGTAGTAGTAGTAGTAGCATTAACAACAGTAATACTAATCATTTGTATCATTATCATGTTGCAGAGAGAAGAGAATTTATCCAGTAGGTGGCACTGCGGTATTAGTTTAATCATATATTCTCTTTTCACACACAATCAAGCTCCTAAAATAGCATCTCCCTCTAGCATTCACAGTTAGTACTATTGCGAGGTCTTCATTTGTATTTGAGGTACGACTGTACAAATCTTTAAATATCACTGCATTTTGAAAACAACAGGTGGCTGGGGTAGCGGAGGGGCAGAAGTGGAAGACGATGAGACACACATAGACAACGTCTCCGATGGCCAAGTTGTTGTTTTGTTTCATCAGACTTAATTATAGTTATATGTCACTATAAGCAAAACTGACAGAAAAGAATAGCGCGAGGCTCACGGGCAGATGTTTCTCTTTTGTTTTACAGTTAGTATCCTCCAGGATCTCTCTCCACAGACAGTCAGTCTGATGATTCATAACGGTCATCATCCTGGTAAATGGAATCATGTATCTAGGCCACGCTCAGACTCAACAGTCATACTGCAGACTCAGAGTTGGTCCTTCAGCACACTGACTAATGCTGACTCCGCATTATTCAAAGGCAGACATGGGCAAAATAAGGCCCCGGGGGCCGGATGCGTCCCATTTAGCTCTCTAATTCGGCCCGGAAAAACTTTGACTTTGACCAAATGTTAGCCTTAGAATAGCTGAGAACTGAGAAAAGTAGAATAGAAGAAATAGAAGTAAAAATGAGTAAACAACAAAGTTTAAAGTCCAACTGCAGCAAGAAATATTTTTCATATATTTTTTTTACAATTACAATTAAGTAAAGGTAATAGAATGTAAAGTTAAAGATTCATAAATAATCCAAAATACTAAAAACTGTTCCAAATAATAGCGTACACTAAATCATTATGAGTTAGCCATGAAAGCTAAACATCGGCTTTAACAGAGAAAAAGGTTGAAGTTATTGAAATTGTTAAAACTGTATTAAGATTTAAAAAAATGTTCAAAATGTCCACAAGAGAAGTAGCATTAATATATATAAAAAAAGTTCAAAATGTCCACAAGAGAAGTAGCAGAAAGACTCCTGTTGGACTAACTTCATTTCTTAGCCATTGTTTAAACTCTTCAATTCTTAAAGTAAACTAGCTTTAGCCAACCGCACGAGCCACGGGAAAGACCAGAATCTTAGAAAACGAGTCAATGTGTTTAACAGACCAAATGTCTTTTCTTAGCAGCTGAAACTTAAGAAGCCAACTTCTCAGATCCCTGTTTGTTATTCCTGGACCGCTCTTTGGACTCTCACTGAACTGATTTGTGTGAATTAACATGACAATGAAATAAATCCCATTTTAACAACCTGAGCTCTCACTCCAGTAACAAAGTTTTGCTTATAATCAAGGCTGGAAAACTTCAGCTGTCCATCCAGCGAGGCTAACCAGATGACCCCAGAAATGATTATCCGCTTTAAACGAGCCTGTGTTGAACTCTAACTCAAGAAAACACTTAGCACTGGACTTAATCATGGAGTTGTTTAAGGGTCTCAGCGAGGGCAAGAATTAGTCACAGTGCTTATTTTCATAGAAAACAGCTCCACGCCCCGTCTGTTGGTTCACTGGTTCAAACTAACGGAGCTAATGAACGAGCCTCATGGACGGTTTCCCCTCCTTACTAGCAGATGTCTTTTGGAAAACAACAACAAACTGTGGAGTCAGCTTCTTAGAAAAAAAAAGAAAAAAAAAAAGAAAAGAAAACTTTCAAAGGCCTGCTGCCAGGTTGGTGGTGAAACAGCACAGACAGCAGTGCTTCGCTCAGTTCCACAAAGAGAGCATTCAACCCCAGAAACCCCTCCAGTGTGGTCCACTCAGGAGGATGTCACCCTCACTCATCCACACTGCCTGACTTTTTTACTTTTTTTTTTAACGTAATGATCATGCATTTCCATGTTTCCGAGTTGCTGTTGAAATAGTGAGGGATTCAGTGTGAAAAAAAGAGTCGATGGAAGAACTTGGCTGCCCCCCCCCCCATTGGCAGCCTGGGGGCGTATTTGCACTTGTACTTGACTTGATTGGCAGGCCTGTGACAAGACAGTTCAGACCAATAAACCTTATAAGGGGAAATATATTGAGTATATACTTAATATTGTACAGTGTAGTTTGTGAAAATTTGAATAAAATATTTCAAATATATAAATATATATATACATATATAAATATATATATA